CCATTCAGTTTGTCACCATTGTTCACGTCAGCAATGATACTTTTCGATGTCATGTCTGTTATTAGAGACAATATTACAAGTTTAACTCATCAATATATACTTCAGTCAATTTATGCATGTGATTACACACTCAACTGACCCATGTTGATCCTCACGCTCCCACTTACTTCTTAACGTGCGGTAATTTTATTTTAGGAGTTAAATCTTCCCTAGGTAACTTTCCTTAATCATATCTCCTTTAAAAACAGGTCGAATCAGTCTATATGGACGATCCGCGACCCAAACCCAACATTCAATAATTTTTACAATGTCAGTGCATAAATCTTAAAAACGGACCCGCGTTTCATGCATGCAGTGGTATGTAGCCACTTAGACGTCTCTTTAACAAGTTTTGGTTGTACGTAGTTTTTAATTGATCAAATGAAATTAAGATAAAAAGATTAAGTTAATCCAATTTCATTTTTTTCTTAAAACGTACACTCAATTTGTTTATTGCCGCAATTTTACCTTGCAGCCTTAATTAATTCTACAAGTGGAGTTTGTGTGAGCAAACCTTACCTCTACTTTGTGAGGATAGAAAGACTGTTTTCGATAAATCGTCGACCAAAAATATATGGTTGCTGGGATTCGAGCCCAAGTGTTTTTCCTTACTAAAGAAGTTAAATATTAACTGGTCATGTGGGAACAGTGGAAGATAGGATATTCTCTTAATTTTATTTGCTTCTTTCAGTTTTTTGTTTGTTTGGTCATAAAATGACTGAAATACCCTTCATATTTTAATGACTTGAGAATGGTTCTGATATGAGGGAAATCTTGTAATCTTATCCTCTATACTCCAACTTGTTACACTGCCACCATATACTAACTGAAAAAACAGAGAAATTTAAGAGGAAAAAGAAAAAGAAAGGAAAAAAAACAAAAGAAAAAAAAAATGGCAACTGTGTGCCTCTCAAATCCTAAATCTTTTCTTCCTTCTCTTCAATCATCTTCTTTGTCCAATTTAATAGTCCAAAAAATCAGTGTTAAGAGACAATTAATTGTGTGCAAAGCAGAAAATAATGTACCTAGTTTTAATCCTTTAATTATTAGCAAAAGAAGCTTGTCAATTAGCATTGCATCGAGTTTATTGCTATCTTTAGCTGGTAATGGCAATTTTAATGCCAATGCTGCAATTTTAGAAGCTGATGAGGATGATGAGCTGATGGAAAAAGTGAAAAAGGATAGAAAAAAGAGGCTTGAAAGACAAGGCATTATCAATTCCTCTACTAAGGAGAAAGGTAAAAAAATATCTTTTCTTGTTTCTTGAAAATTTCCTTAGTAAAATTAAGTATAGTTTGAATAGTTGTTATGTGATACATTTACTGAAGCACCCCTTATTTGGTTTGTTTAAAAGGTAGCCCGGTGTATAAGGCATTCCGCGTTTATGCAGGTCCGGGGAAGGGCCATATCCTAAGGGATATGATGTAGATAGCCTAACCTAATGCAAACATTAGTGGCTGCTTCCACGGCTCGAACCTATGACCTATAGATCACACGGAGATAATTTTACTGTTGCTCCAAGGCTCCCCTTCGGTGGTTAAATTTTGTTTCAAAGGTAGTCCAGTGCACAACAGTAGCGGAGCCACCTTATAGGAAGGGGTATCAAATGACACCCCTTCGCGGAAAAAATATAATGTGTAGGTAGGTAAAAAAAATAAATTATATGTATATATACTATGTATTGACTCCCCTTAATTTTTTGGTACGTTTACTTTTATATATTTTGACACTCCTTAACGAAAATTCTGACTCCGCCACTGGTGCACAATGCATCCCGCATTCACGCAGTATCCGGAAAAGGGCCGCATTCCAAAGGGTGTGACAGCCTAACATAATGCAAGTATTAGTGGTTACTTCTGTGGCTCGAACTCGTGACCGATAGGTCACACGGAGACAACTTTACCGTTACTCCAAAGTTCCCCTCGCTGGGTAAGTTTTGTTTAGGGGGCTAATTCTTGGAGTTGTACAATATGACTATAAAAGTACAGGTTGGACATTGAGATATAGAGAATTCAAAAGTTACCCAATTAAAGTGAATATTAGGTTCTGTCATTTCCCAAGTTTCACCATTGTACTGCAGTTGATAATATAAGGTTCTTTGTTTTCATATCAGTAAGTTGGTAAAATAAAGGTTTGACTGGTTTTTGTTTAAAATGTTGTTTGCAGAATGAGAAAAGCAACAAAAAATCCAGTGTATTAGTTAAATATTTGACATATTACCATATTTAACTTTGTATTTTAGTTGAACATTTGATTACCGAATTTCGAAAAGGAAACTATATTGTTAATTGACTAGTCTGCATTGTACGAAGGGGACCCTTGGCGTAACCGGTAAAGTTACTTCCATGTGACTAGGAGTTCACGGGTTCGAACTGTGGAAACAGCTTCTTGCAGAATTGTAAGGTAAGGTTGCGTACGATAGACCCTTGTGGTCCAACCCTTACCCGGACCCCGCACATAACGGGAGCTTAGTGTACCGAGCTGTCCTTTTACTAGCTTACATTGTCTTAAGCGTTAAGTATAGTATCATAATGAGAAATCAACCTAGTTATCTAGTTTCATCTTTTTATTTATGGATCGCAATCAAGTTTATTTTATCAGAAAAAAGTGCAAACACCAGAAAGTTCCTAAGTATGGATGCCAAATAGTTTGAGTAGTCAGTTACCTGAATCATCTTAGGTAGATAATGAAGTGTGACAGCTACAAAGGTATAGAATTTAAGTCCTTGTAGCAGTTAGACTTGAATTTTGATGTACACCTGATTCGGAAGCGGATCCAGGATTTAACTGTAATTGGTTCAACTTTTAAGATTTTTAGCAATAAACTCATTGTATTGTTAAAGTTATGGGTTCGGATTTCATATTTATTGGGATTTTAGTAAGTTTTTACGTATATATCTCTACTACGTCTTGAAAGTTATGGGTTCAGATGAACTCGTAGTTGGTGAGCTACATCTGCCCCTGTTCCCGAATACATGGTACTTTTCTAACCAGGAAAAATGGCCTAATAATCTTATCTGCATGTAATTGAAACTAGCTTAATCCGTTAGAAAAAGGGTAGCCCGGTGCACAAAGTATCTCGCATTCACGCAGGGTCGTCTGGGTACGGCCGTACCCCAAGGGGTATGATGTAGGTAGCCTATCCTGAAGCATCAGTGGCTGATTCCACCCTGAAACATTGCTTAATTTGTTAATTAATGAAATCTTGCAGTAATGTTAAGAAGATTTTGAAGTGTAGATTTGTTAACTCTCACTTATTATATACAATGTACAATGGTGAAGGATACTTGCAAGATTTGGTATACAAGCTCAGTATAGTAGGTCAAGCAATAGAGAAGAATGATTTATCAGCTGCAAGTTCAGTTCTTGGCCAAAGCATTGATGCAGATTGGGTTCAGAAAGTTAATTCAGCATTCAACAAGGTTTTTTTAGTTGATCTTTCTATTTCATGCACATATTTCTCACATTGTCTATTTTGCAAATGATGTTCATGTGCACTGACTATTGTTTTATTCGAGTTTTTACAGTTTAGTGGTAGCGATGAGGAGAAAACAGAGATTGATTCCTTCAATTCTTCGCTATCTTCTCTAGTTTCATCAGGTAATGTTTCCCTTGAGAAACCAGTAATCATAAGATCAAGACTTTTTCTTCTTCTTTTTCTTGCTAATGGTAGTGTCCGGACTAGTTTGCTCGCACCTCGACTATTCACTAGATACCTGTTATCTTTCACCAGCACAAGTACTAGGTAACTCTGACACTATGGCTTAGGCAAATGGGAGAAATTATGTGGCGTTTTCTTGTCTCGGTTGGAAATTAAACCTTGGTTTTCTAATTGGTGTGTTTGCTGTTGCCTTTCCTTTTATCTTTCCTAAGCCGAGGGTCTTTCGGAAACAACCTCTCTTCTTGAAGGTAGGGGTAAGGTCTGTGTACATACTATCCTCCCCAAACACCACTTGTGGGATTACATTGGGTCTGTTGTTGTTGTTGTTATTATTGTTAGAGTTTAAACCTTGGTCTCCCATGATTTTCACCCATTTTATTGACCATTAGGCCACGCCCTCGGGTGCCATAAGATCAAGAGATATGTACTTTTGGCAATGAAAGTTAACCATTTTTCTTGTTTATTATGTGTTATGCAGTTACTAAGAATGACATTGAAGGAACAAAGACAGCTTTTTTGGCATCAGCAAGTGCATTTGAGAAATGGACAACATTAACAGGATTGGTTGAAGAGCTAAAAGGGCTTTGAAGCAAAAGGAATTAGCATTTCCCTCTTGTATCTGATGCCTATTACTATATGAGAATTGAGAAAATTTGGTCCATGCCAACATGTTTTCACCATTGACATTACTTTTACTGTTTATGTATCCACAAAGAAATAATCTTTTTCATTGTTTTTTACCCTCTGTCAAATGAAAAATATACAATGTATTTGAGTTCCAGTTGTAGCTTAATCTCTGAGCAAAATGACTAGACTATTGTTATCAGCTTTCTTTTTTCTTTTGCTTCTGCCAGCGCACAATTTGAAGGGGAGCCTTGGGATAACTGGTAAAGTTGCTGCCATGTGACCAGGTGATCATGGGTTCGAGCTGTGGAAACAACCTCTTGCAAAAATGTAGGATAAGGTTGCGTATAATAGACCCTTGTGGTCCCACCCTTCCCCGGACCCGCGCATAGCAAGAGCTTGATGCACCGAGCTACCCTAATCTGGATATTTTATTGCTTTTGAAAAGGGAACAAGCTATTGAAATTTCAGCATTGCAGCATAATAAACTTGTCAATTTGCATCAAGCCAACAACAGGATTAATCCTTAGATTGAGCTAAGAAAAATTATACAACCTTGGACAAAGACCAACTGAGCAATCATCAAAACTAGTTTTTGATTGAGATAGCTGATTGATTGATGTATTAATGAAAGGTAAGAACATAATCACTTCCACAACAAACTGCAGCAACTCGCATTAGCCAACTCCCTCATTAGTCGAGATAACACAAAGTCTTTATATAAGCTTATATCACTGAGTTTCATACAACGATCTATGCCGATCTTGACAACTACAAATTACCTCAGCACAATTAGTGTTTCTGCTGAAGGTCTAATCGATGACATAGATTAGTAATGGTAGAAATATCTCTGCAGGCGATAAATCCTACCAGAGCAATATTTAGGTCCTAAATCTAAGATTTTGCATACAGACGTCTTGTGAACAATTAGAGTATCTATAATTCGCGACAATACAGTCATCGAAAAGAAGCAAAAAGAGCAAAAGGTTAGACAGAGAGAGAACAGAGAAGTGGCACGAAGCTACTCAACTGCTGTTCAAGGCTTGGCCTCATTAGTGTTGCTGCCATTCTCAGTTACTTCACCCTCCACCTTACTTATTTCACTGTTCATCAGATTATGTTGATCTTCAGTGCTCGTCGTTGCAGCACTATTTTTCTGCTCATCGTTCTGTTCTCCTTCCGCTTGATGCTTCTTTTCCTCAGCAGCGATAGAATCTGATGTCACTGTTTCAGTAGGCATGTTTGCTACTTTTTCTTCAACCTGTACATCCTTTTCCTCCTCATTCATTTTAGTAGCTTCAAGATCATCAGCTGCTTTATCACCAGGGGCCTCTTCAACATCTTTGGAATGTCCAACGTTATCAGCTATCTCGACATCTTTCTCAACCTGAGTTTCTTCAGAAGGAGCATCTTCTACTTTGCCATCAGCATTTTGGCTTTCGTCTTTCTTTCCATCATTCTCAGAAGATTCGGTTTCATCTTTCTTTGATACATCCTTCTCAGTAGCTTCAGCTTCCTCTTTCTTCTCTATTTCGCTCTCTCCATCTTGAGTCTCATCTTGGTTCTCGTCTTGTTTTTGTTCAACATCCTTCTCAGCTTCCACTGCTGCAGTATCCTTCTCATGTTCTTCAGCTTCTTCCATGTCGTCGTCCTTTGCTGCTTCTGTTTCTTCAGGGACTTCATTGGAATCCTTCTTTGAAGCTGAGGACTTTCTGCCTCGTTTCTTAGCAGGCTCACTTTCTGCCGGAGATGGAGCTGCCTTTGCTTTTTCACTAATCCTTGAGGATCTTCTTGGAGTATCACCAGTTCCCCAATCAAACTCTGCTACTGGTGGACCACTGGGATGCGACTTCAGGTACTGTTCCAGCTGTTTTTTTGTGCTGATCTCCTCCCCTGTTGGTGCAGTAAATACAATTTCATTCTTCTTTGGAGTACCTCCTGTTTTAGGCAGAAACTGCAAAGGAACAGAAAGAGTCAGTTGTCCACAGTACGGAACTCAGTAGATAATGGATCTATCCCTCTACCCTTCTCCACTTAATTTTGTTCTGCGGCAGGGTTTGAATCCGTGACATGCGGCTAACCCACAGATCACGCTCTGCGCTCTCACCACTAGACCAAAGTCCTGTGGGCAACGAAAGATTGATAGATGGAAAAGGAAATAAAAGAGGGCTCAACGGAGTTTTAAGTAATTTAGGAGTCTTTCCGAAACACAACCCCCACTATATATAAAGATAATGCAACAAATACACAAATCTACTGCTTAACTAGTATGCATGAAGATATAAGTTAGCACACAGTTTGTAAGCTGCACAGCCACATCCAATGGCAATTTCAGTAGAAAATCAATATCAGAGCTAAAGGGCTTCCTATGAAGTTTCTCCTCTTAATCAAATGAGATTCTGTAGAGTTTCAATTGTATAAATTCATCTGTTTCCCCGAATAGAATCCTATGGATTCTCCCTCCCGGTGAAGATATGACAGATTCTGCATTTAAATTGGGACATCAAACAAGTCATCTTTAGCACACAGCTGAAAGACATGATCGCCTGTTTTAAATTCTTATTTTGTAGTATAGATGAATTTACTAGAAAGGAAACAAACTCGCCCTAGGATTACATAACAGATTGTTCATGTTAGAATCTCGTATATATTCTAGAATATTCTAGGATCTTATAAATAGAGTATAGCTTGATTGTATTTTGATGGTGATTGATTTTCTTTCTTTTCTTATCAAAGTGTACCATATTCTATCATTATGAATTAACATGAAGATCATGAAAAAAAAAATAGAATTAACCTAAATAGCCGTCCGCCCAACCACTTAAACTAAAAATAGCTGGCGAATGTAAAGTATATGTAATAATCCATGTAAAGTATGTGTATAACCATTAAAAATAAGTGTGTAATCCATATATACCGACTAGGGAAAATAAACAGTGAATCCGGCCAGCTATTTTTGTAAAGAATCTCAAAAACAAAGAGGTCTTTTGCATACCTGAATCACAGTTTTCTAGCTCCAATAAAAAGGTTTTCTATTTTACATAACATACTTCTCCTCTCAACATCAAAAGCCAGTTGAGCAAGAGAGTCTTTAGAAACTTAAATCATTATAACCTACTAGGCACCTAACTATCCTTCTGATCGAGAGAGAAATATTTTCGATCAAGGTCTTGTTAACATGTCTCAGATCTAAAGGAACCAAGTCCAGGCACCTATACGCTCTATAATTACATGCAGATGAAAAGCACTTTTCAACCTCATCATTTCTTACTTTTGCACCAATCAAAAATTTTGAAATGCTTTTCAGGTTTTTGCTCCATACCCCACTTGTGGGACTACACTGAGTATGTTGTTGTTGTTTTCAGGTTTTTGCTACATAATATTTTATTCTAGCAACATAGTGGTTCAAAATCAGTACCTTCATGATGGATAAGGCTTATATTTGAAACTTAGTCTAAATTCCCATTTTTTGTATTGCTAATCCTATGCCCGGTTTCCTCTCATCTTTCCTCCTCCCTTCTAAGGTTTTCAAAAAATTGGCAAAAATGCATCCAAGCCAATCTTACTTAACCGTAAACCTGCAGTTTTCAACTTTTTATCCTTTTAGAGCTTAAAATATTTCCAAGCTAATTAACATTGGTTTAAGGCGGTTTAAGAGAAACAAAAAGCATGTCCTGCAATAAATGGGGAAAACCATAGGGATGCAAGAAAGATTACTATGAGTAGGAAAAGAGGAAACAATATTTTCCGAAGTTTTAAAGTCCTCTAATACGCAACAAAAAAACTCAAGTGCATTTAATTTCGCTGTTACTGCACAACCAGCTCATCCTGATAAAAAAAACTGCTTTTCTGTATCCATTGGACATAATTGCAGTACTGCTAAATGGGATTACCTGATTCTCTCCTCTATAGCACGAACGCATGAAGCTTTACTTATACAACAACAACAACTAAGCCACAGCCCCAAACAGGTTGGGCTCGACTATATGAAGCTTTACTTATGATAAAACAAACCAAAACGCAGAACGAAGTACTTCTGCGCACTACAAAAGAATATGAAGTTAAGAACAAGAAGAAATGCCTCGAACTCCAGCTTCAATTGCGTAAATCTAACTTATAGAAGCTGGAAAACCTCAACATCAAAGAACACCCAGATTCATACTATTAATACTGATTGACATTTCTTGCAGAAAATCTACAAAAACAAGACTAAACTTCCTCCTAAAGCCTCAGAAACACTATCTCCTGAACTACTCTAACTCTTCAAAACCAAAAATTCAACCCCAGAACCAGAAAATTACATAATTGCAAATACGAGAGCTAAAGAAACGAACTTTACATGAAATCGCTAAAATGGGGAACTTCTCAAGCAAACATAGAGAGTTGAACATGTACTAATAGGAAGCCTGGGGAAAACCATATACCCTTACTCTTCCAAAACAAGAATTTAACATCTGAATCACATAACATAACCACACAAAATTAAACAATACGCACAAAACCCATTTTAAAAGAAATTGCAAGTACCAAACTAAATAGTCGAACTTTACATGAAATCAATAAAAATTGGAACTTTTTTCAAGAAAACAGAGGCTGAACATGAGCTAATCGAATATAAAGCCTGAGCAAAACCCTATCTCCTAAATGACTCTTACTCATCAAAACAAAAAAATTCAACCTGAAAGGCACAAATATAAGCAAAATTAAACAATACCCACAAAACCCATTGTAGCAAATTTGCACATATCAAAGCTAAAGAATCAAACTTTACATGAATTCAATAAAAATTGGAACTTTTTCAAAGAAACTAAAGGCTGAACATAAGCTAACATAAAGACTGAACAAAACCCTATCTCCTAAATAACTCTTACTCATTAAAACCAAAAATTCAACCTCAGAACCACAAAAATAAGCAATATCAAACAATATCCACAAAACCCATTGTAGCACATTTGTACATACCAAAGCTAAAGAATCAAACTTTACATGAATTCAATAAAAATTGGAACTTTTTCAAGAAACTAGAGGCTGAACATAAGCTAACATAAAGCCTGAACGAAACCCTATCTCCTAAATAACTCTTACTCATTATAACCAAAAATTCAACCTCAGAATCACAAATATAAGCAAAATTAAACAATACCCACAAAACCCATTGTAGCAAATTTTGCACATACCAAAGCTAAAGAATCAAACTTTACATGAATTCA